CCCCCCCGCGCACTTCATATCACATGAAAGCTGGTATTCCACAGATTCCAATGGTATTGGTATCATCACTGTGCGACAAGAACTCACGGCAGCGAAAGCCAGGAAAGACAACACACAACTTCACTTTACGGGGCCAAAACGGCAAATACGTCTTAACTTTGCTGTTTTCTGATCAAAAGTTGTGTTCAAGGGCATTAAAACGCACATAAACGCTGCTGAAGGTTAATTCAATATCTCTGTGTCACTTTGAAATGATTGCTGATAATCCATCATAACATTTATGTCAATAAACAGAGTTTTCATATAGAATGTATGAGAGCTTCCGGTTTCGGGCATGCTGGCTGCGCATCACTCTCATTCAACAATAGTAATGTTTAGATGGATTTAGAAACTCTCCTATTCTATTGGCTCTAACGGTTCAAAAGTGGTGTCAATCATCAAAATCGACCGATGGGTTCCAGAGCTATGGCACCCAAATGACCCCAAAGGTGGGGTTTTTTCTAAACCTCTCTAAAAAGGTCAAGTTTCACTTGTTTTGCATCAATCTTGACAAAGGGTACTTATTATATGTTATAGTTTGGATTCCTAAAGCTTGTTGTCTACTATCCCATCATTCAAGGGTGGTTTTCACTATAACTAATGGGTTTTCTTTGAACGGAAACTAATTTACATTTTTTTTACTATTTTCAATCTGAATTTACTTTAAACTAAAAATATCTATATTGACTCTGACTTTTGACTGAGAAAAAAGATTATTAATTTGCCCCTTTTTAGAAGTGAAGATATAGCCATTTGTTCTGGGTATGTCATCTTCGAGCCTGAGACCTTAAAAACAGGCTCAGGGCTTAACAGGTTAAGAGCCCATACTTATCTTACTTGTTGGAAATACCCAGAAATAAAAAAAAATTGGAAATATGTAAAGAAATACAAGGAGTTTAACTAATAATGTCCACTAAAAAGATAAAATACAATTAAATACAAATTAACATAAGTCAAGTATGTATAATGAAATAACAAACAGCTCAAAGAATGAAAGATGTTGAACTGATAGTATGAGCATTCTGTTTTTCTTTTCTTTTCAATTCAAGGCAAGGTCCCGACATGTCAGGAGAAGCTGAGAAGATCTTCCATCGCAGTATGGATCTGCTCCAGTTCTGGATCACAGACTGTAGACAGGTGGACTTCACCCCTAAGTCCAGCCTCCTCGATACGTTCGAAAGCTTCCTTAACACTGAGGTTAAAGTTATACTTTTTTGCAGCTTTTCTAAAATGCCAATACCTAATAAATACATAACATTCTGACCCCCTGGTCTCCTTCTCGCATAATCTTCAGTTAAAAGTACCCAGTAATAAAGAATATTAATAACAAAGAAAATTGAATGGATATGCAATGTTTATTTAATGGTAACGATAGGTTGAATACCAATACGTACCAAAGCTGCTATAAGACTTTCATCCTACATATATGTAGAAATCCCACACCATCTTTTACTGGGCTGATTTTATCAAACTAGCCCAGGCATGGGCAAATTAAGGCCCGCGGGCCATATACGGTCCGTTTTTTTTTTTTAATCCGGCCCGCCGAATATTGGTACAAAATTGTCCAAATTTTACTAAAGACCGCATTCATTTAGCTTTTTTCCTACAATACCCGGCATTTCAGTTGATCCCACTAGATGGCGCACTCTAGACACAATTGACCTTAGCTGGAATCGGCAACCCGGCAGGATCTAAGAACCAAATACGTCACGCTTACATTGGAGGAGGTCGAGATTAACCTGAGCAATAACAGTTAATGGCGAGTACGGCGAATACAAGTTGTAACAATCAGTAGCGCTGAGCAAAGTGACTAGAACGCAACCACACACTTATTAAAAACACTTATATAGATTCAGGCAACACTTACCAGGCTTAGTGTGATTCTGTTTATTTGACCTTACTACGTTCACTGTTATTGACCATTGTGAAGAGCAGGCAGACGGTTTCCTGTTGTTTGTATTATTGCAGCTATCGGATGGAATCAATACATGGGCTACATGTGGCCATCACAAGTAAAATCATAACGAAAACTGCGCCGGTAAAATATGCGTGTAGAAAACGGCTTATGCCACAATATGATAGCAACAAGTAGTCAAGATAGTCTGATTAGCTAACATCACCTGTAGAATGTCAGAGAAACTTTCATAACAGCGTCAATTCAGACTGAAACACATTCCCGTCGCCGGCACATTTCATAAGTGACAGACTGACAGTGTGTTCGGTCGGACATTTATAGGGGTC